ATTGTAATGTATAATGACATTTTAAAAATTATTTAATTAATTTTTATATTTTAATTTTTATTTTCAATCAAAATTTTATTTTATAATTTTTAAAATAAAATACCATCTTATAAATATTTAAATAATAATATATTCACATATTTTAAAATTGTATAAATAGTTATTAACACATATATTCAAATTTAATAACTTATTAAATTTTAAATAATTATAATATAAGTTCTTAATATATAAAAGTTTATTAAATAAAATCTTAAATAAACTGATTGAGGAAGCGACCCTTTAGTCTTAAAAATATCACTTAATACTTTTCAAATTTACAAAAGTGAGATGTTTTAGACCTTGGTATTTTTTGATTGGTTAATATTTTTTAGGACCAATTGGTGTCACTAATAATTTATTAAAGATGTACATTATTTTTTTAGAAACTAAATACATACTAAAAAAATTGAAAGAAAGTATTATATATGCTTATATTTAAGAGTTTAACAGTTATGTATTCCTACATTAAAATTAACATATAATTAATGATAATTCATTATTTTTTTTTTCTATATTTAGTGTAAAACAATTAATTACATAATAATTTCTTTAAATAACCAATAAAGTCAAATAAAATTTTTACGCATACACTTTTGTTTAGGCGATCGTAAACTGAACAAATCCAGAGACAAGATAAAGGTTAAAACAATCAGCAAAATCAGTTAAATTTTATGCCACAAAGCACAAGACTGAACCCCTTTTCTTGGACTAGCTAGGGTTCATCCTCTGTAGTTAAAAAGCAACTCCAGCTCATCAACCATCCAAGAGTCTAATTTTTTTTAATTATATATAATTTTTTTTATTTTATTTTTTATGACTATAAATCAATGCCTGTGACTGCAGGTAATTCATTTCCCTTTCCTTCATGATATACACAATTGTACACAGCACCAAAGCTTTTTCTGGAGTCAAAATCTTCAACTGAAGTCTGAATCATGAATCAAATTAACCACGCTTTCATCTAACATAATCCGCTGGAACACAAGCATGGATCGTTTGACAAGTTGAGATAATGCACCATTGCTGGTGATACATATATATATATATATATATATATATATATATCTTTCATGTGTCCATGAATTAGTGTTACCTCCAGATCAGCTTCGTGCACCTCCACTAAATATTGGTCAATTTTGGCAAACTTCAATTTTGCTACATAATGGCGCAGCTGTACAAGTCTCTTTGCTTGTTTGGTATGGCATGTAAAGTCGACACTGGATTAATTCAAGTCAACCACTATGGCGAAATTAAAAAACGAAAAAAATAATCTCCCGCAAATTAATTGGGAGATGTAAGGATTCTCTATAAACAAGGGCCACAAGCTAGGGAAGAGTCAAGATTCATAGGCATTTTGATTTGTGAGTGGAAGATAACGTGCCATTAATTTAACCTAGTAGTGGATTATGTATATACGTTCTAATGGGAATGGAAATAGATTCCCTAACTTTGAGGAAGGAAAGTTAGAGTAACTTAACATATTTAAACCGTTAAATTTGTAATAATAAATTAGATTGTGACACGTGTACATTTAAGTCAAAATATATTTTGTACACGTGTCACAATCTGATCTATTATTACAAATCTAAAGGTTGAAATGTGTTAAGTTACCATAACTTTGAAATCTTAAAGTTGCTGTATAAAAAATGTACAGATTGATTAATTGGAAGAATTTAAATACGACATTAATTAGGATGATCTAGCTAGCATGTGGATCAGTCCGTTATTAGGCATCTTATTAGCTTTTTAGTTCGCCAATTTCCCCCCACCTAATCCATCACCTTGTTCAGATCAGTTGGCCTGCCGGCCTACTTTTTATTTACTTATTTATTTTTATTTTTATTTTTAATGTTAAGTTTAATTAAGTTATATTATATATGAGTAATCCATGATTTATTGTGTAAGAAATATGTTGTACATTTAATTTATTTTATGTAATTTAAGATTTTTTGTGCAATAAATACATTAGAAGAACTATTATTATTATAATTATATATTTTTTTATTATGTAATAAATTTGAATTTTTTTTAGTGAATTAAACAAAATTTGTATTTTAAGATTTATTTTATTATTTAGATACATTAATTTATGTAAATTCTTTAAATATTGAATTTGGAAGAAATATTTAGTATATATATATATATATTATATCTTTCTTTTTTTTTTATTTTTTTTTGACAGATTGACTGTCAACCTATTAACCTATCCTTGATAAGTTAAGATATTTAACCCATTTTATTTGGTAAACAAATTTGACCTGATCCCTTTTTTATAAATTGAAAGTAGTACATGTTTTAAATAAGCTGAATTAACCTATTTTATCATCCTTATGATTAATTTGATTAATTATTAAGTTCAAGTCTATTTCACTGTTATATTTATTTGGACAGTAAATACAAATTACAGTAACTAACTAAAAATTCAACACAATATTTCAATGAAAATTAAGAAGCGTTACATGCACTACAACAAAATATTTATTATATATTAAGATAATTATTTAATGATAATAAATTAATTATATCTATTTTATTATCTAATAAAATATTAATAATTAATATATAATAGTCACTAAAAATTTATTCATATTATACCAAAATTTATTATAAGCAACAATTATTTATTGAAAAAAATTTAAGTCCCACATTGACTATAGTGATAAGATAACTAAAGAGTATATAAGTAAATGATAACTTTCACCTTACAAGTTGGTTTTGTACGGTTGAGTTAGACCCATAACTCACTATTCTAAATTGGTATTAGATTACCCACCATTACCAAACTCAATAATCCTAAACTTGAAGGGGTGTATCGAGAAAAATTCAAATTTCACAATAAAAAATAACACAAAAACTTATACATTTTTTTTGACCAACTAAAAATAAGGGAATTATAGAAAATTTTAATGGTAATAACAAAAAATATTAAATGTCAGTAAAAAATGACACAAAAAACTTGTACATTTTTCTTGATTATTATAAGGGTTTTTATCAACATACAAAATAATTGTCGATAAATATTTTACCGATACTACATACAATGATTAATGTGCAAATGTTGATAAAAGATTTTGTGACCATTTTTATTGCTACTAAAAATAATATTTAATATCATTAAAAATATCCATTTTGTTGTAGTGATGTAATTATCTAAAACACATTTTATAAAAATATAATTTTAGAAGTAATTCATAATTTTCAAACAACAACTATAATTAGAACAATTTTTATTTTATTTTTATAGAAAATATATGCTTTTTATTACCAACTGAACTCATCAATTAACTTTCTTTAATTAAGCCTTTGCATGAAGGTTGAACATAATGTTTTAATGTTCATTGAATCAAACTAATATGCTTTTCTCTATCTTAATTAAACTTCATGTTTTTTTTTTGTTTTTTTAGTTTTGAGATGGTAAATGTCAAATTAGGTGGCCTCTCAGAAAAATTCTCATTCAAGTTGTATAAAGTTTTTTGGATTAAGGTAAAATCTATCGTAATTATGTTTGTTTTTCACGTACCGACCCGAGAATCATCAATTATACTCTCTCTTATAGTACTATTATTTAAACAGATCTTATTACCATGAAATTGATTAACTATTTTTTAAAATTATTTTTGTGATTCTAAATTACTTATTCTGTTGCATAACAAATCTCACATTAGAATAAAAATTAAATATCAAAATAAGTATCATATTAATTTTTCAATACAATATTTATTACTTACTTTCTATTTATATTTTTAATTATATTATTATATAGAAAGTAATTTTATGTTGCATCATTTTTATTAAAGAAGATTATTTACAAAGTTAATTTTATAATATTTTTTAATTTATTTATTAACTTTTTTTTTAACTTGTGTAAAATAACTTATGATAATATAATGAGATGTGAGAATATTAGGTAACTCATAGTAATAATCATAAACCATTTTCTGAGTGACAAAAATAATAATAATTTTCTCTTTTAAAATACACATACTTCCTTTATTATCTATTAATTATAATAAAAAAATTTGATTTTATATATTATGAAAACTTATTATCTACATTAAATTTTACTAATTTTATAATATTCTCTCTAAATTATTTTATTATAAATATAAAAAATGATAGTACAGCTGAAAAGTTATGTACTAAATAAAAAATGTTTTAAAGCAAGTATTATTAAATGAAATAAAAATAATTTTTTATTTATATTTGAAAAACATTCTTATAAGAGAAAAGATATAGTACACATAAAAAGATTGAAAGATCATATGATCATTTGGAAGAAAAAGAGACAAATCTATGTCTAGCTTATGTGATCGAACCTTGACTGTTTTTTTTTTTTTTTTTAAGATAGCAAAGGAATTGTATTATAACTGATATTAGGGGTATCAACTCATTTACAACAATATATAATTAACCTACGGAATAGAGAGTTACAAAGTATTTAGACATTAATATTAAGATCATAAATAACAATTTTAAGAGTTTATACAATCTAGACCTATCTCCTGAAATACTATAAAATGTGATTCAAGAGAACATATGATAGTATCAATACCAATTAGCAGCAATATCATTCAACACCGACAACTAATGTAGCAGTCCGCTTCAACATCAGCATCCATTTATCCTTTATTTCTCATTGAATTGCTAATTTATGTACCATCCTCGTATGTCTAAAAATTCGGCATTTCATTAAACGGTGGTAAATTGGCGACAACTGACATTTTAGCTGATTTTTCCAAAGTACTGATAAACCCAACATCATCAGAAATTTCATATACAATCCTCATCAGAGCATATTCTACCCTTTAAAACATTGTAATTGCCAATGGTTATTCTTTATGAATAATTTATACCTACCTAGCTCAATATATCCATGTCTCACGTACTAAATAGCCGCATGAATCGACTATAAGTGATATTATGTTCTAAAAGTTAAGGCATAGAAAATGAAATATAATATGGCCTTTACATATATCAATTTAGTACTCCTGTCAATCTCCATTTTCATCTCAATTTTCCCTGAAACCTCAATTTCTGTTGACATTGAAAGGGGTTTCCTCCAATGTTTTTCATCAGGTTTAGAACATTCAAACTCAACCGCAGAAGTAATACTCACCCAGAACAGTTCTTCTTACACATCTCTTTTGCAATCTTCCATAAGGAACCTCAGATTTTTAAACAGTTCAGTCCCAAAACCTAAGCTTATTGTCACTCCACGACACTTAGGCCACATTCAAAGAGCAATCACTTGTTCAAGGAAACATGGCCTGCAAGTGAGAGTTCGAAGTGGGGGGCATGACTATGAGGGTCTTTCTTACGTCTCTGATGTTCCATTCCTGATCATTGATCTCATAAACTTTAGGTCCATAAGCATTGACATCAATGATGAAAGTGCATGGGTTGAAGCAGGTGCAACTCTTGGAGAACTCTATTATGCTATTGCAAAAAAAAGTAATGTCTATGGCTTCCCAGCTGGTAGTTGTCCCACTGTTGGTGTAGGAGGCCACTTGAGTGGTGGTGGATTTGGCACAATTTTCAGAAAATATGGCCTTGCAGCTGATAATGTAATTGATGCTGAGATGGTAGATGTTAATGGCAACATATTAAATAGAACTTTGATGGGGGAGGATCTCTTTTGGGCCATAAGAGGTGGTGGAGGATCAAGCCTTGGAATCATTACTGCATGGAAAGTTAAGCTTGTTCCTATTCCCCCAACATTGACAATTTTCAATGTCCCAAAAACCCTAGAACAAGGTGCCAGTAGCCTTTTCCAAAAATGGCAAACTATTGCTGACAAGCTTCCTAGTGAACTTTTTCTTCACTCGGTTATGGGGGTTGACAATTCATCTTACAATAGTGGAAGAAAAACTGTTGTGGTTTCTTTCACTGGATTATACCTAGGGAAAGCTGAGAAGCTACTTCCTTGGATGCAAAACAATTTTCCTGAGCTGGGTTTGCATCTCAACAACTGCACTGAGATGAGTTGGATTCAATCTGTTCTTTATTTTACAGATTATCCAATCAATGGACCCTTGGAGATCTTGCTTCACAGAAACCAAACATTTAGAAGCTTCAAAGCAAAATCTGACTACGTTACAGACCCAATTCCTGTGGCAGGTTTGGAGGGGTTGTGGAACATGTTGCTTGAAGAGAACTCACCAATATTAATCCTAACACCATATGGAGGTAGAATGAGTGAGATTTCAGGATCAGAAACTCCGTTTCCACATAGAAATGGGAGCATATATGGTATCCAGTATTTGGTATACTGGGACTCAAATGAAGAAACACCAAAGCATATAGATTGGATGAGAAGGTTATATGCATACATGGCACCTTATGTTTCAAAGTGTCCAAGAGCTGCATATTTGAATTATAGGGACCTCGATTTAGGAGTGAACCGAGGCAATACAAGCTATGAAGAAGCAAAGTCTTGGGGTTTGAAATATTTCAAGTTTAACTTTGAAAGATTGGCACGTGTAAAGGCTGAAGTTGATCCTAGTAATTTCTTCTGGCACGAGCAGAGCATTCCACCTTTGTTTAATTAAGTGCAGAGGAAGTATGCAGAAATTTGGTTGAGACAATATAGGCAAAATTTCGACCACATTACAAAGATTTGAAAATTTCTGGGAAGATACAATTTGCAAGGAAAAAAAAAAAGAAGATAATTGGTGTACTCAATTTGGAGATAATCTTGACAATCAAATTTAGTGTTAGTTGTATATTCATTTTCTTGATTACTGATCGATGTATCGTAATTAACTAAGGAAAATAAATATGTTTCGTAATTGCGATATTTATTATTGTCGCATGTCAGGAACAAAAATTTCTTAATGTTTCTTAATAGACTTAAACTTTATTAATATTTTATTTAAAATTAATATTTCGGCCTAAACAGTACACAAGATAAATATGGCTTTGTTTGTGTAAAATATATGTATATTTATGAGTAGACATTTTTTTAAAAAAAATTTAAAAATATTTGATATTTTATTTTTTTAATTCAAATTAACATGTAATCATAAGAGCATTTTACAGACTATGATTTTGAATCTATATAGCGAAATGTCATTAGAGCATACTTGATGTATATATTAACGCCTTTTAATTTAATGATTATATTATTAAAATTTAATATAGAATATGAATTATTGAATAGTGTAAGTTTACCAAATTTACTTACACACACAAACACGCACATAGACACACCACCAATATATAGACACACGCACCAAAAAGAGATATAATTAAAGTCTATAAACTTATACCAAATCTTATATTTTTAATAATTTTTGTATAATACAAATTTAATTAATCTCACTGTTAAAGTATGTAATATTATATTCAAAGTCGTGTATATCAAATTTCGCATGATTTAAATTTTTAAAAAAATAAATATTTACACATTTTTTAAGTTTTATATTATATATTAAAATAAAATAATCAGATAAATTACTAAATAATTTTAAAATAATATTATCCAAATTTTTGGAAGTAAAAATTAGCTTTGTACTTTATTTTCAAACACACTTGACCAATAAAGCATCTATATTTATTCTACCACTTTTATTTTACCGTTTTCATATTAATCACTATTTATAGGTTTTATTATATTCTTTACTTTTCACGCACTTTTCTCCATTGTCTTTTTTCTTTTTCCACCTAAATAAGCTTTTTGGAGTAGCTTAGGAATTTATTAGCAAAAAAACATATTTCCCTTCTCATGTCATCATATATTTTGAGATTGTATGGAAACAAGTTAGATGAATATTTCAACTAATTATTCACACAACAACACCATTGGAATTAATTACATATTTTACACCATTTTTTTTAATTATTTTCCATTTAATTATCAAATATCTTTCTTTAGTATCTCTAATTTAAACATATTTAGTTTTACGAGGGTAGCATATATAGCTAATTAAGTCTTTTTATTTCTATTAATTAGAATTTGAGATTGAATTCAACTTCTCTCATTTTTTTTTTATATTCTTTTATTGAAACTTACATATCGTATTTTATATCCTTCCATGCAGACTTGTATTAAAAATAAAATAAGTAATTTATAATTTCATTAAAAATTTTCAAAAAAATTAATGATTAACTTTAACTTTAAGTTTGTACGGAGTTGTGTCATGCCTTAATCTAAATGTTTTATATTATATATATATATACTAACTCATCGAGAGATAAGAGCTCAGGGGCATGATTCTTGCACATGAAAAGGATTGAGTGAAATTAATTAGTAATAAAGAAAATGAAGGAAATCCTACAATTACAATCAGAGAAAGATATATGTTAATGTTGGTTGGGGCAGTTGCCCCCACTAAATTTTTTTTCTTCATTCTTTATATATATATATAT